AAGTTTCAGATTAATGTGAGGATACAAATACTTAGGTTACATTGTTTTCATTTCTAAAGTAAAGTTCAAGTTGCAGTTAAGCCGGTGGGGGTGGCAGTGGCACTGAATACCCTCACATTGTTCACACTAGGAGAGATTCCACCCACCCACCCACCCTCCTCCCCTCTCTCCTCTCTCTCCTCTCTCTCCTTTGTTAGACTATACCTCTGTTTTTTCTTTTGTGGGGCTATGTAGTTTTTTATGTATGGGTTTCGAGTTAGTACTGACTAATTTGGATACTTTTTTTTAAATTCTTGAAATACTTTACTAAGAAAAATGTGTTTCAACTTCATCCAGGTAAACACAAAAGATGTAACATCTCCATTTTTTTTTTTTTTTTTTAATGGCTGAGTGGTTTCCCACGGTATACATGTACCACAGTTTGTTAACCCATTCATGGGTTGAGGGTACTTGGGTTGCTTCTGCTATCCCTTAGGTTTTATTGTGGAATTGTAGAGCATTTTTTTTTTTCAGGTTAATTCTAAGAAGTCAGCAGACATTTAGAGCTTTAATGATGATGAGGAGTTGGTGCTGGTGGTGGTGGGAGATTCAGCTTTCCCTGTAATAAACTGTCATGAGAACATTCTTAGGAAGCTGTATTCAGGGTCACAGAGACCTTTAATTAGCAGATGTGAGAACAGTGGAGTATGTTTTATTGCTTAAAGGATTATGTGAACATGAATAATGACATACAACTTTGCTCCAAGAAGATTAATTTATTTCTTCTACCAGAATCATAAATTCAAGGGAGGTCTTTTTTTTTGGGGGGGGGGTGCAGCTGGTATTGTTGTTTGGCAGGCCTGGGCTGGATATGAACCTGCCACCTTAGGTGTATGTGGCTGGCACCTTAGCCACTTGAGCCACAGGTGCCGAGCCTCAAGGGAGGTCTTAAGAAGTCATTTATTTTATTCTCCACTTTTAAACAGGTTGCTTTCCTCTCACCCTCTCACACCTTCCCTGAAATATTAGGCTCCTCAGAGGAGCATTTCCAGATTGGGCAGTATTTCAACAGCAGCCCACGGCGTCCTTATTTGAAATGAAAGTTAAGTTTGTGTGGATACAATATATGTCTAGAATTCCCAGTCATAGGAATTCAATTCTTATTCTTTAATGACGTCTTATACAGCAGCATTTCCCCGCATATGTTGTCTCTCCAGCACCAGTGAGTTACTTAGTAACTCTGCTTAGTGTCAGCTTCTCTTGGAAATGATGTTTTGCAGATGTCTTAGTCTCAGGAAGTTACACCCAGACCAGGTTATATAAAGAGCAACAGGAACACGACAACAACAATAACACCTAGAAAAAGCAAAGATAAATGATTGAGATGAGCGGCTCATCTCAATGAGAACCATTGGCCTTGACCATAGGATGGCACCCCAGGAAAATAGGGCATGTGCTGACAGGCTCCTGAGCACCTGTGTAGATGCTCAGGACGTCCTGGATGGGACACCACAGGCAGCAGGTGTCTTTAAACACAGGAGGTAAAGGAGGAAGGAAACAACCAGGTGACTTTATCTTATTTACACAATAGAGTAACTCAGGCATGTTCCATACTGAAGAATGAATTCTCTAAAAGAGATCTCTGAAGAGACACATTCAGAACTACATGTTACATTTACTATTTTAAGTAGTTAGTGTTGTTCTGCAGAAACACTTATGATGGTCACACTGCTAAAGCCCATCGTTAACAGAAAGTCTAATTGTGCATTGGTGATGAAACAGCATCTGAACAAAATTATCATAATGACGCCGTGATGCTTTCTCCTCCATGCATTGGTTCCTCTACTTCTTTCTTTGAGAACTGAAAGTTGGCTTGGCGCCTGTAGCACAGTGGTTATGGTGCCAGCCACATACACTGAGGCTGGTGGGTTTGAACCCAGCCTGAGCCTGCTAAATAGCAATGACAACTACAACAAAAAAATAGCCAGGTGTTGTGGCCAGCGCCTGTAGTCCCAGCTACTTGGGAGGCTGAGGCAAGAGAATTGATTATGTCCAAGAGTTGGAGGTTTCTGTGACCTATGACTTCACAGCATTCTACTGAGGGTGACATAGGAAGACTCTCTCTCAAAAAAAAAAAAAAAAAAAAACCTGAAAGTTATTTTATGCATGTAAAGGTAAACAAGAGAAAGAGCTAAGCAAATTAAGCAGGATTAAGAGCGTCTCGGCATATTTTAGTAGCCAAATTTATCTTCTAAGGAGCCAAATTTATCTTCTAAGGGTTGTGGACTTTGGATAAGAACTTGAAGGTCAAATGAAATTTGGAAAGACTGGGAAGAAAGGGAACACACATTACCTATGTGGGGGAAACATGTGCAAAGGGTGAATTTGAAAATGAGTTTGTGGTGTACGAGGAAGAGTGAAGAGTCCCCAAATAGCCAACATATTTGGGGTTCCCTACCTCTTCCTCTCACTCTGTCTCATGGAACTAGAGAAGTTGCATTTTTTGAAAAGAAGTGGAAATACTGTAAAATATTTTGTTTCTAAACTTGAACGATAGCACAAACTTTGATCAGTGGCCCTAGAAAAAAAACAAGCCTGTGTCTGGTTGTCTGGTAGGTCAAAGTTCACTCTTCTGTCAGGCATTCTGGGTTCTTCAGAACAGCATCTTATTTTACCAAGCCAAGATGGCCATCCTTCCTCACCATCATGGACTCTCGACGCCTATGGAGTGAATCTCCTCCCATCCTTTACACATGCTGTGTTCATATTTGCCACCAAATCTTAGCCCATGCCAATCTTCCCCTGAAAATATCCTCTACAGTTATCTCTGCTGATTAAAGCACTTTAGGAGTTAGGTGAAGTTTTACATGGTCACTGTCAATATTAACATATTGAATCTTAGGCTGTGCAAGGCCCCGGGGACCTCCAGAGATAGGAAAGACAACTACAACATCACACACACACAAAATAGAGAAAATATAACAAAAAATATATTTTTGCGCTAAAAAAAATATAAAAAAACAGAAAAAAGTTATATTTTTTTTTTTTACTCTTGTATCATTATTTTTCTGACCATTATTTTTACCTTTTCTCTCTCCAAAATGATAGTCATCCTCTTTATGTCAAGGTAACATGATTTGGAAAACCACTCTTATCCTGCCTTATAATGCTAGGTTTATGGTAGATGCTTAATAGAGTAGATGTTCGAATTACTACACAAGCATGCATTTGTTCAGCATAGGATCTCGAGGACATCTGTTATGCACAGCTTTATCATGATGGATGGACAAGTTTTGGAAATATAAGTGTCCTCACATGTAATAACTAGACGGGGTGCCCCCTCCCCCCAGTTGCAGTGTGCTTTCAAATCCCATATGGTATTATTAATACGATAGGCATGAGTTATGGGTAGGAACAAGACTGCTCATGACACAGATGAAGCGGTTATGATTCAGAGAGCTTAAATAATCTGCTCAAGGTCAGAGGGTGGGTGAACTCCAACAGTTGTCTTAGGATTCTGAATCTAAAGTCAAGGACAGGACTAGAGAGCCAGGGGAAGTCTGTGATGAGGAGAGAATTTACCAGAGGAGTGGTAATCAAAGGATAATCAGAAGGCTGAAAGATAAAGTTACTCTTTGACTTGGGGCACATCTTGAGATGGGGTGGGGGATGGCTGCCAGAGATTTCTTCTACAGCTTTTGAGAACTCCCAAGGAGAAGGATTTTGAGTGAATATGACTATCCCCAAACTGTGTGTGGAAGTGGACAGTAGTTTCAGCCAACTGGCCTCTGAAAGGGTCACACGTCCCCTGAGAAGTCCTTCTTAACTGTAAGCTGTAAGCTGACAGGAAGAAATTAAATCTGTCTCTTTTGCAAAGTCAGGTTACATCTCTAGACATCTGCTGATCGCCCTGTCACCACCGTGAGACCCACAACTCAGCGTCCCACTTGCAGTCTGATGTACCATGTTCCAAACTGCTTCCTAAAGGGCTGAACAGCGACACCTATTGGCTCCTTTTGAAATAAGCAAGATCAAAAGAGATTGAAGCATTCAAAACAAATAATAATAATCATTCCAAAGGAAATTATGACATCAGCAGCATATTTTATCTCAGGAACAACACACCACTCCAAGTTTCAGTACTGGGGATATTGTGTGACTTTCATTGTTACAGAAAGCCCATCAAAGACTTTTCACTAACCTTTTAAAAATAAAAATTCAATAGAAACAGTACAAAGATCTTTGTGTTTGGGGAGTTCCTTGTTGTTCAAGGTTCAGGCTGAGCCATAAATGAGCCAATTGAGGGAGGGGATGTGAAGGGGCAAGGGTGGGAATAACGTAGCTGCTTTCTGCTTTAGGAAACTCGAGAACCAAATCTTCCTATGGAAGACCCTTGTGAGTTATAACCAAGCTTGAATTCTTTTCTAAATGACTCCAAATTTCGAGATAATCTTGACGATCTTATAGCTCTTGGTTTCATTCAGGAGCAGGTCCTGTTCCTTTGTACTCATTTCAGTGTGTCTTTCCTTAGCAAAACTCGGAAGCTCACTTAACATGGAACTGTTGGAGGTGCTTTTCTGGGCAATTTGGATAATGAACAAAATACTTCACTCTGAAAAATGAAAAAAAAAAACTTAGTGTGCACACTCCTCACAATATCTTTTTCTAGCTTAGACCTTTACAAAAATTACTAAGAAACCATAAAATGGACAGTGTGGTCTGCATTCCCTTATCCACCAAGGGAGGTGTGAACAGGCTTACAGTGGGTGTTGCAGGAGGGAGAAGAGAAAATGCAGGCTTGGATAAGCGTGGATCATTGAGTATTTGCATATTTGGATCATTGAAAAGGATGTTAAATTTTTCACCAGTTATTAATTAGAGAATCATGCATAACACTGGGAACTTGCTTTTTGATCTTAAAACAAGAGCCACAGTTATGAGATGATTCAAGCTGACTTGGGTCTGTTGAGATCTCTCTCGTTTTGCTTTTCAGACGGGTGGTGGTTTGAGAACGGCATGGCGTTAAACCACACTGCTCTGCCCCAGGACGAGCTCCGGCCACACTATCTTCGAGATGGGGATCCGTTTGCTTCCAAACTCTCCTGGGAAGCGGATTTAGTGGCTGGCTTTTACCTAACAATAATTGGTAAGTTTCCTTAATTCTTCTGTTCAAAGGCTACGATTAGAAAATTAATGGGCTGATACATTGATTGTACAAAAAAGATCCCAACACGTAAGTGGTAGTGATGGTGGAGAGTGGGAGGGAGGCAGCATATGAGGTGGCATAACATTCAATAAATGTTTCTTAGAAATGCCTGTTATCTTTATTAATAGAATAAACACTCCATTAATAATCTACAGGATGCTTACAGGGAAAGTATTTAAGCTGAGACTGTATTTCACTTTTGGTTACTTTGGGGGTAGGTTTATCTTCTGAATACCATGATATTAAGGACCATGATATTTAAAGAGTGCTTTTATTTCATAAAAAATGCTTTTGGTATAATCACAACACCTTAGAAATGACCCAGTTCAGTGAGTGTAGCTCAGTGCTGCCGCCGTAGGAGACACAGGAGTTTGCCTCACCTAACAGTCAAGTTGCATCATAACCGCTTAGCTAAGTCATTTGGATGAGACGTGAAAACTTATTGATGATAAATGCAAGAGTGTCCAGGTTTGAAAGATTTCTGTTCATGATCCACAGAGGGGTATGTTATTTGCAGACGGCACTACCCCAGTGTAGGTGTCCGCCTGTGGCTCCTGCCCAGCAGAAGCGTGACTTTTCAAACTGAGATGTGCTGTCCAGTGAACACACACTGGACACAGCAGACTGAGTACGAGGAAAAGTCATATAAAATATCTCACTAATAACTTTTTAAAAATTAAATGCTTGTTGAACCCACAGTAGCTTGGGTATATGCGGTTAAATAAAATATATTATTAAAATTAATTTACTTATACATTTTGACCTCGTTTCATGTTGCTATCAGAAACATTTAAAATGCATTTATGGTTTACATTGTATTTCTTTTAGACAGCACTAATTTAGATAATTAGGCTTTAACCACGATACTTTTCTTAAATTTAAAGTTGCCGTTTTAAATTTGGGTGACCAGTGTGCAGGTGGGTTGTGTTTTAGGTTTGTCTGTCTTTCATCTTTCCAGATGTTGACTCGAGCTTGCTCTCTCTTTCTTTATTTCTCCCTCTCTCTTCCTCCCTCTCTCCTTTTCTCTCTCTTCCTCTTTCATCTATTAATTACTGGCTAAGAGCTTCATTTAATTTCCTGAAATTAGCAAAACTCATTAGAAAAATCTTGATATCCCTGTATGGTCAGTGCTTGAGGCAAAAGGAATTCATGAGAATGAATCAAATCCGTTGCAAAGTGATTCCCCAGGTCCTTGTCTTCATTGTTAGTGATTTACTACTTTAAATTCTATCTGTTATAAATAGAACCTCATGTCCTCTCAACACAAATAGATATTTAGCACTTACTCTTTGCCACTCTTTTAAGTTGCCTGGAATAGAGAAGTGAATAAAATGGGCAAACACTGATGGAAAGAGGCTATCATATTGTAAAATCCACCCTGCACTTTCATTATACTTAAGTATTTTCGATGATCAGAAAAGGCAGAAAAATAAGCACATTATAAATGAAATGTAATATATCTCGGTCACTTGCAAGGAATGTATTAGAAAGTCGTATCTTTAAACCTGAAAAATCTCTCCAATACAAAATAAGGAGGAGTATCAGTCCACTCCCAATCTTAGCATGAAAAATTGCAGGAAGAGAGGTGGGGACGTCAGGAGAATTTCTTACCAGGTGTTCCTGGGATTGGAAAGGAAGTTCACAGTCATACTGAAATGGGTTTGCTGAGATGCGGCTAGAGAAACAGGCCCCAAACAAGGGGATGCCCCAGAATAGTCCCTGACAGGGAGGAGAGCAGTCAGGTGGAGAGCCCGGGACTGATCGGAGACCCACCAGGTCTTGGGCTTGTCCTGTCTGTGTCTTTCACCCTTCTCGAACAGGCTGGTGTGGATTTGCCCAGATTCCTCTGAGGAGCCAGAGTGAAATGAACAACATCCATAGTGAGCTTTTTTAAACACTAGACATCTTAGAGAAAACAGGAAGATAGAAATATGTCAGTTTGGAACAGTAGAGAAAGAGAGACTCATTTTCCACCTCCTACTCTATTACTGTTACTGTAAGTGTCTGGTTTATTAACAATACGAGATGTGAGTTTTATAATGAGATCTAGCAAGTTAAGAATCCAAAAATGGCCCGGCCTTAGTCATTACCTTCTCAATCTCATTTTCCTTTAACTAGAATTAGAAGTAAAAATGCTTTCTTTTGACACTCATCTATAGATAAGATGGCTTGTGGGACTAATTTTACACACAGCAAATAGAGTTGACTATTTTTTGATCATGTTTCGGGCACTGGGAGAAACCCCGTGACGTAGGGCTAGTAAGGAAAATTGAAGGAAGTAAAGCTAAGAAAACGAATATTCTCCAAGCAGATGTAGACAAATAAAGGGTGTTTAAATGAACCTTGTGTGTCAAAAACATATGTGTGCATACTTATTGTTTTTGCTTTTTAGATACCAAGTAGGTGACATTAGTTTAATCATTTTTCAAACCACGTGGGTTTGCTCTAGAATGCCATATCTTTTCCCTCCTCTTCTGCTTTAAGAAAGCTAAAGAGTTTTTAATGGATCATTAACCCACACGGACTCCAGGGAGTCAGAATTTCTTAAGAGCCCAATGTAGTGAGCTCCTGGTGGTTTCATACCATCCGCTGAAACACACATTTCTTTCCTTGCTCCCAAAATGAATTGTGGTGGAGAAGTAGAAATTAAAACAGAAAAATCTGGGTTTCTCCTGTTAATACTCTCCTTATTCCTTACTACCAAAGGCAGCTGTACCAGATTCTCATTTATACACAGCTACACTATGAAGCAAGAATTCCTGAAGAAATCTACTCTACATGTTAAGCTATGGAAGTAGGTGTATTCTTTTCTTAAATAAAGTCAGTAGGGATTGGGTCTTTTTGGATTTAAACTGGGTTTGTAAGAACTTTTTGAAGTTTCATTGTCATGCCAAAACCACTTAGTCATTGATAAAAGGATATTAAAACGTGGGAACACACTTATGCCATTGTTGGTAGGTCTGGTGGGTTGAGGGTCACCTTCTCTCCCCTTGGTGGGAGGGGGAGTGCCCAGGTTGTCACTTGTCACCCACTTGCCCTCCATGCCTAGTCCAGCAGCAGCTGAAGGCTGTCTTGTCTGCCAGACACCCAGTGTCCATGTGACCTTGGGAGGCGGACATCCTGGGCGCTGTCTCCAGGAGATGACCCTTTCCTTGCAGGGGGTTGTGGCAGTCTTACTTGGCTCCTGCCTCTGCTGAGTGCTGGAGCTCCTTCAGGAGTCTGCACTGGTACTGATGGCACCTTATTTGGTTGCTTTCATCTTAAGAATTTATCAAGAGCTGAGGGGCTAACCCTATTGATCAGAAAGAGGGAGTTCTATAAAGCCAGTGATCTATAAAAATGGCTGAGGAAAATACTTCACCCTGGGGGCCAGTACAAGAACTGACCATTGGGAAGTGACCATTCCTCTTTCTGGGTAAGTTCAGCATTGGAATCCCTGACTCCTTTCCCTTTGGAGGCAACCCATCCCTCACCTTTCACACACAATTCATGCTTTTTATTTCGTCTTCTTAATTTAGATTTTTGTTTAGAGTCCTCTCACCACCCTCTAAATCGATGGTGTCTATTTTTGAAATTGAGAAGTGTTTCATATCCCAGTGAATTCTACATCCTAGTTTTAATGATGGGCATTTTTCTTTTTCCTCGTAGGGATTCTGTCCACATTTGGAAATGGCTATGTCCTTTATATGTCTTCTAGACGAAAGAAGAAGCTGAGACCTGCTGAAATAATGACTGTCAATTTAGCAGTCTGTGATCTGGGGATTTCAGGTAACACACCCACGCAGTTCCTTCTTTGTGGGTTTAAACCACTCCCCATCCTAAAGTACTTAGTGGTCAGCAGAGCCTCCTCCCCCCCCTTTTGCTGCTGTGTTCACAGGTCATCTTCACAGAGTTTGTGGTAAGGCAGGGGAGTGAGGACATCATTCACGTAACATTTATTGAGTCTTTCCTGTGTGCCAGGCATGTCAGATGCTGAAGATACACTTTGGAATAACATGTGGTACCTTAGACACCTTCAGGTGGGGTAAGCAAAAGGATTCAGAATCAGAAATTTTCAGGCAGGCTCCCATATACCCCTCCAACTGTCTGAAGTCTGGTTAAAATGAACAGCAAGACATGGGGGGTCTTGAAGGGTAACTTACAGTTGCAGACAGTCGGGGAGGTGGATACAGGAAGAGGGAGGCGTAGCTCCGCTAATGACACACTCAGTCATGACTTAGGGACTGACTGCAAGTGGAAACATCTGGTTCAGGGGTTCTCAAACTCTGCTGCACAGAAGAATCACTGATAACCCAGTAAGGAGGGGTTGGAATACATCTTTTTTTCAACTATAATTCGGATTTTTAAAAATAAGAACGATTCTGAGTAGGTCCATTCCCTTTGCCTTTTCCCATAAAATTCCGGGGTTCTTTAGATGCACCATCTTTGGATCCCAACATCTGACATTTAGTTTATAGACTTAAGTTATTGGAGTTGGGGAAATTGTGTTTGAACAGCACACGTCAGCTCATCTTACTGCTAGAAACCTTTTAACAGTTTCCCATCAAAAGCCTCCTTTAAAATTTTTTTCTTATATTTGTTATTCTTCTTCATAAGTGGATTTTTCTGCCACTGCTAATCTCTAAAAGCAAGTCACAGTGATTATCCTCTACCAGTTCAGTCACTATCGCACAGCGGTAGGTGTGTTGCTGTGCTATTGAGTTTGGATGGTCTTGGTTATTTGGGCTGGGATTACTAGGTATGGACAGGTTCAAATTTCATGAGCTCGTAGGGCAAATGCATACACACATTAAGGGAAGAAACGACGTGTCAGGCCCTGTTCTGTGAAAATAAGATGAACTCCAGGGAATTTGCAAGGCAGCAAAGTGGCTGCCATTCTGCCTATGGCCACACGATGGCGGTGTCACAACATAAATGACAGCTTTCCTGCTCCACTCACCCAGCTGGCGCCTGAAGCTTCTCTACCTGCTACTGAGCATAAAACGCCTGAACGACACTTGTCATTTCAGCCACATCCTTCAGCAGTGAATAATACCAGATTCATGCTATGGCTGAATTACACGCTGAATAAAAATGTCCTTAACTGGTCTGATACATTGAAAGTGCTTCCAACCAGGCAAGTCTGTTCTAGAATTGCAGAAACCATCTCATTACTCTGCCTATGTCTTTAGAATATATTCACCGGACACCATTTCCTTTCACTGTGGCAGCTTTCTCTAACCTCAGTTTTCCAACTTCTGACCATCTATAATGTGCTTTCCTTTCCAATAAACCTTAAAGCATATGCTTTTTTTCCTTGCTCAATTATGTTCCATTAAAAGCACCTTGAAGCAGCACATTCACGAGACCAGACGTGTGGCACATGTGCAACTAATGCTTGTTCAAGTACCAGTGGCTCCCAGTCACACACACGTATTAGAATAAGCTGGGAGTAACACAGAAAAGTAGAAATGCCTGGGCTCACCCCACAGAAATTAAAACAGAAGACTGAGGGCAGGTGTTGGAGCCCTGGAAGTTGACATTTAAAGCAAATCAAATCAAAGCAAACGAAGGTAAACAAAATGACCCATCCTGTCCTGCAGCTGTTGTGCAGCCCGGCTCCGGAGCACTCTTTTACTAAGTGGAAAGGAGAGAGAGAGAGAGAGAGAGAGAGAGAGAGGGAGCCACTCTAGGTGACATTCCAAAGGTTCGGCTCTGCTTCAGGAAGAACCTTGAAATAGCTTTCACTTATCTGGGTTGTAGGCACAACAGACTCATTTCACTCCCATTGAGTCACTGGTCACTCTACCTTGCCTTTCTGCTGCCTTCAGCACGCACCTCTCTGACACTCACCTTTCAGCTTGCTGCCTCCTCTCCTTAGAATCAAAGGCTTCTTGCAGACGCCCATTGATTCTTGTGTCTAGTTAAATGTCACTTCTTAGAGAAGTCTTCCCCGAATCCTTTATGTAAAATAATTTCTGTCTATCTCCGTTCTCTGTTTTATCTCTCTTCACAGCCCTAATCATCACTCTCACTCTAGCAGACAGTATCTTCTGTTACGGATTTGTTTTTCTCTGATCTCCCTATTAGAAAATAAATTTGTCAGTCTTGATCTTCACTTCGTCCCCTAGCACCTTGCTCTGTGCCTGTTACAGAGTAGGCCCTGAATAATTATTTATTAAATAAAAATAAAACAGTTCTTGGCTCGGCACCCGTATCTTAGTGGTTAGCACACTGCTAGCCATATACACCAGGGCTGGTAGGTTCAAGCCCTGCCGGGCCTGCTAAACAACAATGCCAACAACAACAACGACAACTAACAAATAGCGGGGCATTGTGGCAGGCTCCTGTAGTCCCAGATACTTTGGAGGCTGAGGCAAGAGAATCACTTAAGCCCAAGAATTGGAGGTTGCAGTGACTGTGACACTACAGCACTCTATGGAGGGCGACATAGTGAGACTCTGTCTCAAAGTAAATAAATAAATAAAATAAAAATAAAACAGTTCTTTTACTCTCCAGTACCCTCACTGACATTAGGGTTAGACTCACTGGGTTTAAGAGGTTATCATATGAGGGTGTCTAGACTAGCAAGCTGGAGTGTGGTGCTGTCTAGATCAATGCAGGAAATGTGTGTCTAGCATACAGCAGACACTACTAGGTGAATATTTTTTAACTGAGCGAACTAACAGGAAATACTGGAAACTTCTACCGAGAGGTGCACAGCTGGGAGGGGCGGGAGCTGCCACCTGCAGGCTGTGAGCATCACTTACTGGGTTTTCCTAATGCATTAAGGTTAGGGAACCTTCTTTTGATGTGTAGATACACTAGACTTTGAAGAGCTTCCTCAGGGCATTTCTTTCAAGGAAGGTAAAGACTGAATACAATGATTGAATAAGGGAGGGCTGCAGGGTGTGAATTAAAAGTAGAAGAAAGTGGTCTAGAAAGTAAGAAAAAATCCTGAGGGAGCCCCAAAGAATAAATAGCTTCAATCCCCCAAATCTGGGTCAGGTAGTAAACAGATTGAACCTAACATTTATGGATATGGCTATTCCATGTTTGAATAAGATATGCGACAGGATCAGAGAGAAAGAAAATGAAACACTAAAACAGAAGAGAATTGTAGAAATGTGGTCTCAACCTTTGAAAAAAGGAGTTAAATAAATGATTCTTAAGCAATTTTTTTAGGCAGTGAATTTTTTCTTTGAAAAAGAGTGTGACTTAGAAGTTCGATATATGAAACAGATGGAAAAAAAAAGATCCGACTGAAAGAAGGTGGAGGATGGGGACCTAGTTGCTTGATATTTCTTCCCCTCCATGACTACCGACTTCCACTTCGCACACACAAACACACACACACACACACAACTCAGAAAAGCTCCAAGGACACCCCTCTGGTCCCCAGGGCTCCAGGCAGAGAACGGCTGCTCTGTGCGGCAATTCTGACGGCTGCAACTCTATCACTCTGCTCTCTCACTCACCTCCCCAATCCTACTGCTTCCCTGTGAACGTCCAGCGTCCTGGGGTTGTCACTGATAACAACAAGTCATTGGGGAATAATAGTGAAAGACCAAATATGGTCTATTTTTTTAATAAATAAAAGACTAATTCTAATTTCCAAGAAAATTACTCACACTATTCTTTTTTCTTATTTTTAAATTTCCGAATATTAGGGGGCACACACGTCTGTTTTACGCGCTTTGTTTTTGAGAATGGGTATCCCTGCTGTTCTTAAAACTCTGTTTGGAACTGGCTCACGCCTTCCTCCTCCAGCACTTTAGAGTCCAATCTTTATCCTCCCCAGTGCCATTCAACCTCCTTCCTTTCTAAATTCACAGCCATTATTCCCCACCCTTCTCTAATTAAGGCTCTCCCTGATAGATAACCTCTCTCTTTCCCCTGCCAACCCTTCGACACTTAACTCCTAAAGCACTGAGTTGCCTCCGGGTGTTAGAAACCAGATTCCCTTTTTCATTACAGGAAGCTCATGCTCTACCTACTCAGATTCAGAAACGCCCCATTTGGGGGAATGGGATGAGTTGAATTTAAATCATCATTGGTATCTTCTTTTTGGTCTTCCTCCTTTTTTCCCCTTCATTCTCCCCTTCTCCCATCTCTTCTTTCTATTGGTTGAGACAATTTTATGAATTTTTTTATTATTTAAAAAGTTTGCATTTATCCCAGGAATGGAAGTATGAGTCAACATCGGAAATTTATTAATAACCTACGTTAATAAAGCTGATGACAAAAGAGACCTGTGATCACCTCAGTAGATGCAGAAAAAGCCTTCAGTGAAACTTAACATTTATTTTTGGTAAAAAAAAATTCTTCATAGACAAGAATGAGAAAAGAACGTCCCTTGCCTGATAAAAGGGATCAAAAACATCATCTGCAATAATAAAACATCAAAAACATGTCTTTAAAAATTAGCCACAGGACACGAATGCCTAGTATGGTTACTTTTATTTGATATTGTAATGGAAATTCTAGATATTGTAATACAAGAAGAAAAAAGGAATCGAATGGCTTAAAATGGTAATTATTAGTAGATTATGAGTCTATCATCAATCAGACTCAGATAGCTGTTCTGATTGGATCAATGTATTGTACACACACAAATAAAAATTCTTTGCATAAAATTATTCCTAATTCAAGACGGATGTTTTAAAGAATTCCTTCTAGTCCAAGGAGATGTACTTTGTCATCTATGGAGCAGCATTTGCTGAATGTAATGTATATAATGGTTGCCGGGTTCTGCAGGGGAGTCTGTGGGAAAATACTCTGGCACATACAGTTAGTTGCTTTCCTGAGTTTCGGATATTCTGAGAGACTTGAATTTTGATTTCCAGGAAGGATGTATAACAAGTAAACTTGCCCAGTATTATTTTATTATGTAAATACTTTTGTTCATTTATTTACCTTTTTTTTTTTTTTTTGAGACAAGCTTAGGGGATTATTGTTTTGTAGAACCTGAGTTTCTAAACGAGGTTGCTGAGGTTGAGTGAATGCTCAAGTGTATTGTACAAAACCTTCTTCCTGGGCAGCACCTGTGGCTCAAAGGGGTAGGGTGCTGGTCCCATATGCTGGAGGTGGTGGGTTCAAACCCAGCCCCGGGCAAAAACTGCAAAACAAACAAACAAAAAACCTTCTTCCTGTGAGTACTTTTTGACCACTCACAGTTGAGTATTTAACTCTGAAGGAAGGAAAACTAATGGCGTCTTGGGCCTTCTATGGAGGAAATCAGTGTAGGAACTTTGAGCTTAAAGGTAAAATTTTCTCTCAGAGTTCACTGGGGAGACATTGTCCCTTTCTTTAACTTTCAAAATGAAGAGCTTTAATAGAACATTAGAAATGACCCAATTGTTGTTACTGCCCACCGAGATGACATCTCCTGTGTTCCCTGAAGCTGAGTCCCTTTGAGCACTTTGTAGTAAAATTATTTAAGAATTTTTTTTTAATACCCTTTCAGTATCTTTGGCTATTATGATAACTGAAAACCTCCTTGGATAGCTTCAAACCCAGTTTATTCAAAGATAGCTGCCAAAATTTTATTAATCTAGACATTAATATGAAATAATAGTCATATAAAACCTGTTCAAATAAACCCACGTGTGTTTCAGTGGAAGAAGGGGCAGGTGAGTTGAGGTAGGTGGGGAAGTTTTAACTTCGGGAAACTCCTTCTGATACCTCGCCTGGTGCTCTAGTTGTAGGTAAGCCGTTCACCATCATCTCTTGTTTCTGTCACCGCTGGGTGTTTGGCTGGATTGGCTGCCGCTGGTACGGATGGGCTGGGTTTTTCTTTGGCTGTGGAAGCCTTATCACCATGACGGCTGTCAGCCTGGATCGATACCTGAAAATCTGCTATTTATCTTATGGTAAGTTGGCAGGTTTCTCTTTCTCTGATATCAAGGCTGGGTGGATTGAGTGTCAGAGCTGTACGTCTTTTACGAAGGTAATAAATAAAGGCTATTAATAAACTCAGAGATCAAGAGTATTCCTAACTTGTTCTAATACATGTTTAAGGACTTGAACCTATGTCAAAGTAGGTTTCCTTTAATGCTACTTTTATAGTAATGTCTGGTGTTTGACTACAATGCTTTTACAAAGTATCATTTTTCTTATATGAAGCGTGTCAGCCTTGTCTATGTTTTGCCATGGAGAGAAAGCTGTACACTGCATTGAAAGGATGTTAGGTCTGAGATGTGTAGCTGACTCCTGACATAGTAAGTATGATTATAAGAAAAGCTGTTTATGATTCTCCTTCAGGACTCAGGCTCCTTGTGATTTCAGAGATGAAGAATTCCAAAAAGTTCACCTCCAGGTTAGATTGCCCTGTAGCTGTTCCTGCATGAAAGGACATGCATATAGAAAGCTCGCTCACCATGTTTTTGCGGTAACGGGAGGTAGGAGATGACAGACTGAGACAGCCAGTGAGGGTGAGGCAGCAATAAGCTTTCAGAGCCTAAGTATTTTCTTTTTAAAGGATTAGACCCTTCTACTGGTTAAAATAATTTTTACTGCTTTCGCTTCTTGGAGCTCTGGGAATTTATTGAACCTGGAAGAGATGCATTTGGGACACCTTTAATATTGGGCAAAACCAAGGAATAGTACTGAGTCCATCTGATAAAGCTTCTTTATCAGCGGTGGTGAGTTCAAACCCAGCCCCGGCCAAAAGTCTGTCAGTTACAGTGGTTGGTCAGAGGACGGCCAAGCCGCCCTGATGCTCTCTTTTAAAATTTATAGTTTCCAGATGCTAAGGAAATCATGCATGGATATGGGGGTGGGGGCGGTTGAGTCATCCTCTTTGTGATCTAGAACATATATATTTTTTTAAATTTAAATCTTTTTTTTTAAACATTTAAAATTCACAACAGAAACAGCTTGAATCAAAATTTCCAATAAGGGGGAAATATACAATTATACACATTTTGGATGAAATCAGACACTAATTCTTCCATAGACTTATTTTCGGTCACACCAAATACATTTTAAATCTAACTATAGAGTTTATAGATGGGAAGGCACACAGTTAAACTGCCTGGGATTCTCTGAGGAATGCCAAACCTGCTGCCTCTGTTTTTAAATGTTTTCTTGGGTTCAGGCTTTGTGTTGGTTAAGGAGATGATGCTGCCTGCTGCCAGAATCACTGCAGGGTATAACTCCGTGTGGGAACTGTGTCCATTTTCCAGTTTCTTCTAAGGTTATATTTCAGTAGCATAGTCTCATCATTTAATCGGATGCACTATTAAACACTCCACACAGTGTCCTAGAATGGTGGAATTAGCAGGTCACTTGGGGCTATGTAGACCTTTCTCCCATGTAACATGGTAAACTGTTTTAAGGCATCCCTGAGAGACGACCACTTGGCCTCTTCTTGAATAATTCCAGTGACCAGTGACGGGGAGCTTACTACTGCACAAGGCAGCCCATTCTCTGATTGGTCTGCTCTCATTGTTACAATGTTATTCCTTATATTGAGACAAAACTGCCTCCCAGTAACCTCCACCCATTGGTCCTAGTTCTGACTTCTGGAGCAACACAGAACCAATCTACTAATCTACTCCCTCCTGTACTTGACAGCCTTTCACCATACTGGAATGTAAGTATGAAACACCTCACAAGTAACCCTAACCATAAATGCTTATACGTATGCCTATGCACACCCCATAAATCTATGTGATCACCCGTGCCAATGTCATCCCGTTAGAACGGATAATCAAGAGCTGATATATATTGTGGCTACATGACTGCTACCCCTATATCATTTGAAAAGTTTGCATTTCATGGTACAAAACACCACGTATTGGGGAAAAAACAGACATCGGGGAATAGAAACAATCTTTCCTAGTTCTCCTTAGTGCTAAGTGAGACAAACCCACACAGGCGTCAAACTTCATGTTAACGTCGTGCTCCTTGGTTTGCAAAGCAGGCCCCGTAGGTGATTTTATACACTTACCAAAGCCTGTAAGTGATATATTCCTATTTCCTCTATTTTACTGCTGAAACACTTGACGTCTAGCAAGACGCCATGGACAAGGTCGAATACTAGAAAGGGAAGGATTAGGCTTTACTCACATCCCAAACCTCAGACCACACTAAGCAAAGGCAGACCCTGAGTCTATGTGGAGGAAATAAGTTAGCTTCTGAGTGGAATATATTTTGACATTTCTTCTGCGCTACTGCAAAACCCATCAGTAAGGAGTCGCTTCCTCCGCCCTCTTGGCTGAAGATGATGAGTGAAGCTTGGAGGTAATTTCCTGCGGAGGCTGACGCGCTGAGTCAGGCCGACCTGTCTTTGTCGATTGTGTTGAACTTGGGGAAATGATCACTGGTGCTTCACAGCTTTTCTTAAACGGCGGCACAGTTTCTTCCTCTTGGAACTCTCTTTTGGTTAACAGAAACTAGTGCTGAAAAACGGAGCTCATTTTTTCATCTCCCTGAAAATACCTTCACAGAATCACGTTTGCAGAACACGGTTCAACCTACTTAGCTTCTCCACCTCTCCTGCGAGGGCTGCGTGAGGACAACTGTGGCGTGAATCACCTTTGAAGATCCAAAAATCTGCCCCGCAAGTCATCAAGCACAGTTAACCACGTTAACCTCACAGCACGGTGTCGTGAACATGAGCTATCAAGCCCTGCTCAACAAGTTCTTAGGAAGACAGATGAGATCAGAATCACAAGAGCTCTCAGGAAGCGGGGTGTTTTACAGATGCGAGCAGCATTGCCTGACTGCGCGGGCCCTGAGGATCCTCCCTGGACGACCCACTAACACACGCCCTGGAGAGGTTTTCCCACGGTCCTCCATTGTCTTCAGCGTCCTCTCATCTTTTTACTGTCCCCTCCCCAGCTTTGGTCGCTTTTCCCTCCCAAAGCTCCCAGGCGCCTAGAGAAAACTTTCCTCGTGAAACTGCTTCACATTGAGAAAGGCCTGAGCTCTGGAACTTTCCCCTGTACCTCATCCACTACCCCTCGGGCTCTGCCATCTGCCCACGTCTCCCAGAATTCAGTGGAATAAATCTTTGGAGGTGAACTTTGACAAGTCGAGGGGAGGTATTTGGGTGCAGGGCAGATTACAACCGGGTAATGCTTTTCTTCCGCCTCCAGGGGTTTGGCTGAAGAGGAAGCACGCCTACATCTGCCTGGCCGTCATCTGGGCCTATGCCTCCTTCTGGACCACCATGCCCTTGGTAGGTCTGGGGGACTACGTTCCTGAGCCCTTCGGAACCTCGTGCACCCTGGACTGGTGGCTCGCCCAGGCCTCGCTGGGGGGCCAGGTTTTCATCCTGAACATCCTCTTCTTCTGCCTCTTGCTCCCGACGGCTGTGATCGTGTTCTCCTACGTAAAGATCATTGCCAAGGTTAAGTCCTCTTCCAAAGAAGTAGCTCATTTTGACAGTCGGATCCATGGCAGCCATGTGCTGGAAATGAAACTGACCAAGGTAACTGCACTAATAATTTACACACGTGTTTCCAATCAATTAAAACCTCATAGGGAACGCTGGAGACTGGGAGAACCCAGAACCTCCACTCTTTATGGACGTCCAAACTTTGCTATTGCTTCCCTAAGGCCTTGCGGTATCTCTCTCCTCTCTCTCTGTCTCTGCTTCTCTCTCTCCCCCCATCTCTCTCACACACATTTTTAATATCTACTACATTCATATAATGGATCCATTGGGTGCTTATTTTCTCTGTTGAGTAGGGCATTGTTGATTCTTAATTATTTTTAATAAGAATACTTTTATGAACTATAGAATGCCCCACAGTGGTTTCTACTTTGCATGGACTTTGGGATATCATTAGGGCCATTCTCTCACTTGAATTATTTGTAGAGTAAGAGTTTATACCATATATGCCTTCCCCGAGGAAGCTTGTCTTAACACAAGAGCAATTTCTGTAGTAAATGCTAGTTTTGGTAAATGCTAGTTTCAGAGGTGGCAGTTTAGATACTGTAGTATAAGGAGTAGGGCACACAATTTTACAACTAAGGTTTTAGTCCTATTACTGACACTTGCTATGTTTGTGATGCAGAGCTAGATGCTTAGGTTTCTTGAGTACCTACTTCACTTCCTCAGTTGTGTAACAGAAGTAGTAACATCCAGCTCATTGGGTTATAGTGGAAATTCAAGGAGATAAGAACTATGTTGTTTGGTTACCTAGTGCACAATAGTTGTTGAAGAAATTGTAGGTTCTCCTTTTCCCTTATGTCTTTGGGAATCTCTGGTAAAGTCTAAAGCACTGGTCTTCCTGCTCTCATGGTATCTCATTCCCATATTGAAAACACATTTCCCCACTCATACCCTCAATATAAATGACATGTGGGTAACACCATATTACTGTGCACTAACTACTAGCATACTTTAAACACCATATTACTGTGCACTAACTAGTAGCATACTTTAATATGTCTTATATATAATTTTTTGAGACAGAGCATCTTACTCTGCTGCCAGACCAGAGTGCAGTGGCTTCATCATAACTCACAGCAACCTAAACTCCTGAGCTCACATGATCCTCCAGCCTCCACCTCCCAAGTAGCTAGGAATGTAGGCACCTGCATTCAGATAATTTTTCATACACCCAGATAATTTTTCTGTTTTTAGTAGAGGCAGGGTCTAACTTTGCTCAGGCTGGTTTTAAATTCCATACCTCAAGTGAACCTCCTGCCTCAGCTTCCCGGAGTACTGGGATTATGGGCATGAGCCACCACACCAGGCCATAAGATAAAAATTAGTGTAGATTGAAATTCTCATTATTTCTTCTGGTACCCCAGTAAACCATATTGATTGACATTCTACTCTTGAGTGTACTCACAGCCCACTTCAGAGACTGCTTGTCTCAGGACCTACAGCAAAACCTACACTTTTCTCCAGACCAGAGATGGCTTCTTAATATGTCTGGGCCCTGGTCCAGTTTTCTCTAAATTGCAGAGTTTTTGAAGTTGTGCAAAGATCTCTTGGTTGCACAGTATGAGCTGGAGATTCTTGATGGCCTCAGTTGACCTTTATACTCCAAACTACATTCAGGGTAAAAGAAGCTTTGAGGGAAGTTTTCGTCCCTCTAAATTTATACCAATAACCTAATAATAGAGCTATTCTTGAGCAAGAATGCAGAATCATGAATCGTGATCTACATCTGCCTATCTTATAATTGGCTGTAAGTAGGAAAATATTTTCATAAAATGTGGAATTAGGTTTTTCTAGCTCTCTCTTTAGCTCTTATCTATAATTTTTGAAAATGAAATTGAAATAAATTAATCCAGGTTAAATTTGAATTATATTGATCCAAATCCTACTTTGTACTCAGTACTATTTTGGGAACTGGGCAAACGTACCAGTGATGAAAAGTTTTCTTTTCAATAGTTGATGGCATCTATACAGGGGAATGGCATGGTGTCCATCGGAGTGGTATGTGGATTTAAGCTTTGCGGTTTATCACAACATGTCACAAAGTTGCTGTAATGTCTCATGACGTGCTTTCTTCTTGCCATCATGCTCATCTCTCCCCGTCTGCCATCCCCCAATGACATTATTGTCCTTGAGATACTTTGTTGGTCTTGCCCAGTAAAATTGGATTCCAGTTCCCTTGAGGCCCTTCCTGTTTTCTCTGAGTTTATTACTCATCACCTTCTCTCTTGTTAGTTGAATTGCTCAACTCAACCTACTCACATTGCACCATCTTGTTCTTTGTGTAACATTGAGGAATGGCAGCTTATGTAGTCAATGCCTGTCAAACTTATTACACATATGAGGTGTGGCCAGCATATGCCATTCACTTTGGTCTGTTGTTGTCACTCTGCTTGACTTAGATCAATCACTATCATCCTAGACCTGATTAACCAAGGAAATACTAAATGATGTGTAGGCATACATGTGTATAATTTTGTCACATACTGTATATGTGTGTATTCTTCTAACTTACATACAAAATGACATATTACATATTACTTAATATTTTATGATATGTCGCTATTTCATTTGCATATATGAAGCCTATATTAAAATAATCTAAATGTCAAATGTTTCTAATTACTAATAGTTCTGCAAAAATTTCAACTCATCAGAATTCAACCTGTATTGAAAATAAGCACAACTATTGGGACATCTTCCATACTAAATTTAAACTACTTTCAATTACTACCCAATTTGGACCTTGATTTTTCGTCCTGAGTAAAAATAAGTAGAAACAAACTCCCACGGGGCCTTTTCATCGTCTCAGAAGCCTTTCCCCTCTTTACCTGATGTTTCGCTTTGTCAGTTTGTTCTGCTTGTTCAGCTGGTGAACCCGGCTTCTTTTTGGCACCTGCATTCTGTTAGTCTGATCTTGTCAGCCTAAAATTTGGCCTTCCATCCACAAATATTTGTCTACTTTGTAGACTCACTCTAATTAATTAAAAAATGGTAGTTTTGCCAGACTTTTGTGGCAGCCTGGAATTTCATGACTGCAAACAGAGGAGTGCAATGTAGATATAATATACATGACCATTTTTATATTGCTATGAGCCAACATAATTTTAGTTCTGTGCCTGCGTTTGATTTTATAAAACAAATTTCCCATTGAACAGTCAGGATAAATTCAGTCGAAACAAAAATTTCCCTTCTTTTCCCAGGACCACCTAACAGTTTCAGGAAAGTTTTCATAATGTCAAGGTGCTAAGGGATGGGGCCTCCTGGTCTGTCATTTATTGACCTTGGTGTTGCTGAGATGTTTAAGATCCCTTTGGATGTCAGTTTCCATTGTCATGGGTCACTTTGCATCTTCATTGCTGCAACTATAGGCTCATCAGCCCTGCAAGCTGTTTCCTAGCTTGCCAACCCATCAGGTGGACGTTGGTGCTTGGCTGGGACCCTGAGAACGGAGGCAGGAATTTTTTGCTTCCATATTGCCAAACGTATTGAGGATTCTATTGTTCCCTAACCCCCATCCACGATCCTTGGCACTCAGCTCAATGGGACAGGTTCAGGACACCTTCTCCAGGTCAGTTACCATGTCCTCTGATGTTCTCTTTTTCCTTCAGCCTGGAGGCCTTGTACTTACTCTGCAGTGAGAAATCGGGCTCATTTTTATGTTCATTCTCTAAAATGTTCACATAATAATCTTCATGCTCCAAGTCCCTAGGCCTCTGGCTGTGGATGCTGCTTTTCCATATTCAAAACCTATTCTTGTAACTATTTTTTTCCCTGTATGTTTTAAATTTCTGTTCTGAAACTCTGAAGCTGAGAAATGAATGTTTTACTTCTTCGGGTATTTCTGCTTGTAAAAGTCTTCACGCAATACTGTGAACACTCCTGCTGCTGATTTAACGAGGGGAATGGTGGAATGATAGGCAGCCAATCCCAGAGGCAAGGATTAATTTTTCCAAGTATGATGACGTCCTGCGTACTGAGATTATAGTCATTCAGTGAACACACACCTGCAGGGCTGCAGGTCTCCAGTTAGTATCCAGATCCTGTGGGTACCTACATTTCTCTCAGTGTCATTTATGTAGATGAGAAAGCCATTCTGATTGTCACTGGTTAATTCAAGCCCCCCTGTTATGGGCCATCAAACCACTTGGCACATTACTGTTAGTGCCACTTGTCATCCTTAACTAAGTCATATGTTTGCACCTCTTTCATGAAAGGTAGTAAGCAAGGTGAGGGCAAGGGCTGTGGGTCCTGAATGCCACTGCACCTGTAGCCTGCCACCTGCTAGATGCTTAATCGTTATCGCTGGAACAAATACGTAATTGAATAAACTAATTTAATGTAATTACCTTGATGAATACTAAGAGGTCTCTTGACCCCTGGCTTGAATGCCTCTGTTCCGTTTACACCTGATGGGACGTTATGTTTCGCTTTGCTCTTTCACATTGATTGTGATGCCTTTTTACAACTTGTTATTTATTTATTCATTTATTTTTTTGAGGCAGAGTCTCACTCTGTCACCCTGCGTAGAGTGCCATGGTGTCATCATAGCTCACAATAACCGCAAACTCTTGGGCTCAAGTGATCTTGCCTGAGCCTCTCGAGTAGCTGGGACTATAGGTGTCTGCTACAACACTTGGCTAGTTTGTCTACTTTTAATAGCGATGGCGTCTCACTCTTGCTCAGGCTGGTCTTGAGTTCCTGAGCTCAGTCCACCTGCCTGCATCTTCCAGAGTGTGAGGATTACAGATATGTGCCTCTCATCCAGCCCTTTTTAAAACTCAGATGATGCCTCTCTTTTCTTGCTCATTAAGTACTATTTAGCACTGAGAGCTGAGATTCAGAGGACCTCCTTGTGGACTCTACGGGCAGTTTGTGGGAAAGTTGTAGTTATTGCTTTTTTCTTTCTTTCTTTTTTTTCTTGATAATTACTACTCTGTATTCTTCCTAGTTACTCATAGCTGAAATGTCACTTCCCAGTAAAGCATTTTCAAAATTGAATTCAATTCTTTCTGTGTAATGTTTCATTGTAGCCT